TAATTACTATGCCACATAGATGGGAGTTTCACTTCCCTTAGAAGAACAGATGAGCTTCTGCAACTTAAATGTCCGTGTCTTGATGGACGGCGCCCTAATTCCATTGGTAGTGTCATGAATCTAAATAAGGTTGATACCAAGTGATAGCAGTTACTGAGGGGTGGTATTACTGTGTCCTTTTAAGTATTTGTCTTTTGTAGCTCAGTAGCACTGAGATCTGCCCTAGCCTGGCGCTTCTCTGCCCCTATAAAGAGAACTGTCCCATGTATGGACCTAGAGAGGCTGATGGGTCCTGGGAGAAGAAGAGGTGAAGGAAGCCTGGAGAGATTCGCTTTCAGCTTGTGCTGTACCTTCACCTATGGGGTGAATTTCCTAGGAACAAGAAGATCAGGTGAATTTGGGAGCAGGTACACTATAGTGAGCAGGGAACAGAGAGACACCTGCTCCCACTTGTTGCCACCAAAACTTCACCCTCTAGCAAAATCACTGTCTACTGGATCAGAAATGCCATGCTTACAGGGACAGTCTGTGTCCTAGGAGAAGGTGGATGAGGTAGAAGTTGAGTCTAGGCAGGCAATCTTGTGCCCAGGGAGAGTAAGACTCCATCTTCCAGCACCACTTCCTGCTTGTGTCCTCTTCCAGGGGATGAATACTGCAACACGTAGGTCCCACACTGCCAGCACAATCCTCCTGACAGGGCAGTTGGTGTTCAGTGAGGGGATAGAGAGAGGTGGTGTCGTCCATAGTCTCACAGCCCTCCCAGTCCCCATTTTCAAAAAGTTGTATAATCCCTCCATGCTGTTTTGCTGTTGACGCAGTGTAATGTCGTTATCACAGCGACTGTCATGATATTACTGCTGTCATGCTCTCTAGGATAAAACTAGCTCAGATTTGTGTGGACACGCTGCAAACATGTCCTTGGCCTACAGCATAGACATAGCTTCAGGACCTGGATCTTCTCTTTGTGTAGACACATGGTGTGCTGAAATTCCTGGGACATCTCCCATGTCTGTGGCAGTTGGAAGAGCATCTGTATGATCACAGCCAAGATGGTAAACAAAAATCCCCAACACAGCTGCTCTTCATCTTCCACATGATTGTTTTAACCAAACACAGTCCAAGATGCGATGTTGTGCTAAATCTATTCTGTTGTGAAATAAAGCTATTAACTTGTTTTTTCCTTTTTTAATAAATGATAAATCTTATTGTGGAATAATAAGTGTTACAGCTGGATAAAGTCTTTATTGCTAAAACATAACTACAGCAGTGCAAACCTTTACAATGCTGGCTTTTCAAATGTTTGTGATTTCATATACAGCAGCTGCTTATCTGACAGAGAAATTAAGGTTGGTAACAACATTTTCCATTTTCCTCTGAAACCATCCTAATTCTGTTGTAATAATTCTGTCGTGTTTCTGTTTAGGTTCAGGTAGAGTTGTGGTAACTGGGAAATAATTGTGAGAGTTATATTGTGCCCTAGGAGCAATTAAATCAAGTCTATCCCTACAAAGACCAAAGGTGCAAAAATTTGAAAGAAAATAAACTTGTGGTAACTGGGAAATAATTGTGAGAGTTAATATTGTGCCCTAGGAGCAAATTAAATCAAGTCTATCCCTACAAAGACCGAAGGTGCAAAAATTTGAAAGAAAATAAATGGAAGGGAAGTCAGCAGACTTTCACATGTGTTCAGTGTCCTCGCTCAGCCCGAGCCTTTGCTGTCCCTGCCATTTGTGAGGTTTGAACAACCTGTTTCATTGAATGGTAGGAACGGTCATATTTTGCTCTTTACGTGATGAGCAAACTTTATCTTTGCTGTTATAAACTCAGGTGAAATTAAAGCAAAGATCAAGAAAAGACAATTCTATAATTTTTTTTCCTGGATGAAGTCGAATTTTTTTAGCACGGCTGCTGTGACACTGTGTTTAGAGGCTGTGGTTGTACATATTATATGCTAATGTAACGGACCCACAGATGACAGGCACATATCAGGCCCTTCTTTCAAAGCTGCCTCTGGGGCCTTTGATCCTTATATGCTGCTACGTCACAAGTTGCAATGCAAAAATATTGACCTTATCTTCTTCATTTTCAATGCAAAAGGGTGCGTTAGTGTCATCTTCCCTGCCAGGTTGGTCTCACGCATGAATCTTCTCTGTAATCTGACTTGTGCCCACATACATAAATCTCTGGCTGGAATGAAATGGTGTTTGGGTTAGCTGGCTGAGCAGAGCAGCCAGAGGGAGGGTAAGAGCTTGAGCATTGCTGACACTTGAGCTGGTGATGCGGGAGGAATACAGCGCTCGGGTTACAACAGCTCATCAATTGCTGACGCTCCGGCTTTGCTGGTCCACTCGTTCAGCAACAGCAAAATATTATTTAGTGGTCTGATTGCTCTCAGCTTGCTCTTGCTAGGGATCTGTCTGTCGTAGTCAGACTGCAGGGTAGGATGTCTTGTGTTAGCTTTAAACCAGGTACTGAGAATAGGGTGGCTGTGCAGGAGTGTAGTGCGAGCTACAAAACCCATCCAGAACTGTACTGCAGAGAGCTCTGGACAGCTGAGATCACACCCAGCTAACCAGCCAGGCAAGGAAATTCCAGTATACCAGCCCAGTGACAGTTGCAGCTGTAAACTACAGAGTACGTGTATCTTAAGCTGCCTAAGAGAAATAGCTGGAGATGCTTCTCAGAGTGAGACCGTATGCGTTTCCACTGGCAGGAGCAGCCAAAATTCAGTCCTCAACTCTTGTGACAGATTGGAGAGTGAGATGGCAGAGATGAGATTTTAACAAAACATCAGCTCTAGACACTCCACTGCCAAAAATCAGCATATAAAATCAGCAAAATAAAATGTCTTGGTATACAAGTGAAAAAGCTCCATCCGTTTAAAATACTTTGAAAAGTGGAACAGGCTAATGAGAAAGAGCAAAGTAAGTCTGCAGGAAGAACATAGTGGGTGCGTGGAGACTTCTCTGTGAGTCTGCAGAAAAGCTAAATGAAAAATATTACCAAACACAGCATGCACAGAGAGATCTTGAGAAACCAAAGGTTCAGTAAAATGAAGGGAAAAAAATCCCAGTGCAGTTTCCTGGCTCCAGCAGGTAACTCTGCCCTACAAAGGACAGTTCCATTTTCTTTTTCTTAAATCATGCATATTTCAACTGATGATACCTTGGGACAGCACTGAAGAAGTTATCATCATGTGCTGTTTGCTTCTTGCCGATGCAGAAAAGGGCTTTTGTCCAGGATGTATGGCCTGCCTGTGGTTAAACTGATGTGCTGTGGAGTTGAGAAGGAAACTTGAACCCATTTTTCTTATATGAAGAGCTTCAGGCTGAAAAGCTGGGAGACTGCTGATCGAGCAGTTTTCTTGAATGTAAAAAGTGCAGGCTGTCACAGTGACTGTAGTTAATAAGCACCTGATGCCTTGTCTATTTACAGTCCCTAAAAGTGAGATGCAGTGGAATTTTTATGGAGTACAAGCACTGATTTTCCATTACTGTGCATGCGAAATTTCTGAAATGATGTTGGAAAATCAGTACTCGTAGGTAAATTAATGCATTCCTTTCCCAACGTATCAACGCGGGTGAGCCGGGGGACAGGCAGAGTTGCCTAACTGCTTTAGCAAGGGATGTGTCCAGTCTTGCCTTTGATCGTAGACGATCAGGATGAGTCCCTTCTCCATGCCAGGCCAGCACCAGAGCGTACTCTCCACTGGCCCCTCACCTGCACCCTGACTTTGTGGGCGTGATACTCAAATCGGCAGCCCAGAAGGGAGCAGTGGTGTATTCTGGTCCAGACCCAACCTACAGCCCTCTGTCAGTGTTCAGGTTATGCTTCCACTTACGTACTGCTTTGACAAATACCAGTCTAAATGAAGGTGGTGAGTGAATTGCTACGATGTGCCTTATCTGCTTTGTTAAACAGGGTGATATTTACTGTTGTTGGCCATCTTTCTGACTGCACCTCAGTTGAAGCATCCATTGAATTTTTCCTAATTTACACTAGCAGAAATAATTTTTCAGTCAGGCTCTATGTATTTATTTTAGTATTTTTTTCAAGACTATATGCTATGAAGTATTTTTCAGACCCTCCTCTCTCAACAAAATGTTAAAATCTAAATGTACTTTTGATCGCTTCTGCTATTTATATTCTGAATGTCACTTAATGTAACCAACAGAGAAGGATAGAGAGGTTCTGCATTGATAGTATTTTCTGGCATTCTTGCTTTATGGCAGTGGTGTAGTATGAGGGTTACAGAATTCAGAGTGAGTCATATACTCATAGTCAACTTTTTGATGGGAAGTAGTTTAAATAAAAAGTGTCTTCTAACCAACCCATTCTTTACAAAGAACAGCTATGTTCCTTTCACCAAGGAATATGTTTGTTGCCTGATTGAGAGCTAGTCTAAAAAGAAAGAAAAATATGATGTTAGCTTATTTCTTCCTTAAGTTGCATGAAAAAAGCACTGGAATATTTATTTGTATTTAACAATAACTTTTTATTACTTTAAAATTTCAGATTTTCTGAGCTCTGGAAATTCTGTGTATGGCTGGGAACAGTTGAGTGAATATCATCATAGATGATTAACTTTAAAAGAGTTATTTTGATGCAGACTACTTAATTGTGTTTCTGAAACCAAGCACCAATTTGACACAGATCCTAGTGAAGAAAAGTACCTTCTAGAAAGATACAATATCCTGCTCCTTTAGATGTGGCCAAGGCTGCCCTGAGCTCAAATGACTACGTTGAAGAACGAGAGATGCTCACCATCAAAAGTTTGAATCATTAGACTTTGTACATAGAACCACTCCAAAACGAAGAGCAAAGAGAGGGAAACAATGCTTTTAACAACTCATTTTTGTCCTCTGTAGGTTACTGGACCAGGCAATTTTTTTCTCTTCCTATTGTACTGATGGATTTCAATGAGCTAGTGGGGAGAAAGGCTCGAAACGCACCGTAGAATCTAACTTTTATGCATGTTATTTGCTTGTGTGTTTGACTAGGGACAGGGAGCCCTGTCTGAGAGACTAAGGAGCTTTAGCATGCAGGATCTGTCAACGATTCGTGGAGACAGCAGCAACACTGTTCCTCCTTCGGTCACTGTACGAACAAGTAGCAAACAGAGCCAGCCAAAAACATCCAGAAGTGCATCGGAAGGCACTGGCAGCTCAGGTAAGTGCCAGCATCGTTTTCAGTGTTGTTTTGTCTGGAACATCACGTAGCTAAATGAAGTCATGCAGTTGTCAGGAATATATAGAAACAGACATTGCAGGCGGCACATACCAGAACTCACAGTACGCAGACGTGCTGTTGAGTCTCTTGGCACTTAAGAGAGAAAACAGTATCATTGTTTGATGGTTGCTATTCTGGTACCAAGGATGGGACTTGAGCATGCAAGGCAGCCAGCACCAGTCCTTGCAACCTGAGCTGAAAAGTTAGGCTCTGGGCTGGGGGCTGCAAGCTGTGGTGGTTTTTCAATGAGAGGGGCTAATGGAAGTGCAGAAAGCTGGAGTAAGAATGCACAGTAGTGGGCAAGGGCCGGTATTATCGCCAAAACCCCCATATGGTGATACAGCCTCTCTCTCTTACATCATCTAAACATAAATGCAGGTTCTAAGGGGTATCTGGTTTCAATTGGGCCCACTTGTGCTTCTTCTGAACTGTACAGTAGCTGTTAGAACACTTGACAGTTGTAGAACGTTATCACTGATGAAGTCTACTGAGAAATAAAACCCATGTAAAGCACTCCTAGAAGCAGAGACCAAGATCTGACAGCTGTGTACGATATGAAGGATGTCTGCATAAGCACTGTTTGGAAAACACGTCTCTCTGAAGGGCAATGTTTTTTTTTTCAAATTCTGAAAGAGCAAAGGGAACAAACGTCATGGTCAGAATAAAATCCATTCCTGAGGATTTAGTTACAAAAATTTATTTCAAGCTTCGTTAAAGAAATCTTTGTGAGCCCAGATTCAAAACATTTAATTGGAGATAGGTTTGCAGATTAGATCTCAAAAATTGAGACATGGAGGGTTATCCCAAGCAGGGAGTTCCAGATGGCTTCTGGGATTCCCAAACACCACCAAAGAGTATGCAACTCAACTGCCGTGATGAGAAGCCACAGAGAGTTGCAGGCGTGTTGCACTTGGTAGCTTGTGAAACATATGCTGGCAAGTTTGAAATTTAGCAGTTTCAGCTTGTGTGTGTTGAGATCTGTGCAAACATTCGCCGTGTTTTGAGCCTGTGTAGATTGCTACCCTGTGTAGATTGCTACCCCTTCTAGTTCGCTTTAGTTTTGGAATGTATTAGGAATGTCTTGTCTTGTCCTTCCTGAAAAGTATCCCTCAAGCCCTTTACAAATTCTGAGAATTATAGCTCACAGACTTCTCTGTTTATTCTTTTTAACATCATCTGCTGAATAAATTCTCTTTACAGGTAAGCTGAAATAGCTAATGGTGCACAGTGGTTTTATTCTGATGTTTATGTAAGGTCTTGTATACACAACCTCTATCCATCCCATCTCACTTAGTGATTCCGTTGAGGTCCCTACTCTAGAAGACTGTTTGCAGTCCCCTTCGCCCACAGACAATACAGAGAGGCACCTCCAGAGGATGGTTTCACTCACAGGTGGTGGCATCATGCCATGTGGTAGTCTATGGCCACAGCTTTGCTCTCACTTTTGATCAGATGTGAAAGTAGGTGTAGTCCTGGTCTCTCCAGTCCTTGTACTGTTTTCTGGTACTGTACAATTATATATGTAGTTAGAATGTCTAGAGGGGTGAATTGATCAGTTGTATGTGTGTGTGTGTGGAACAGTATGATCTGTCAGTCAGACTGTACCACATTTTGAGGGCCATATTCAGAATGAGCTGACACTGTTCTAGGCATGCCAATTCCAGACATGGTCCCATCACTCCACTTTCCATATTTGTTTAGTCGGAGTGTTGCACGTAAACAAGGGGCAGACAGAATTTGCTACTCCCTGTTGGTATGCTATATGTAATGGGAGTGTTGATCTGCTTGTGGGTAAAGGCTCTACAGAGGGATTTGGACAGGCTGGATTGATGTAGGAGGCTGATTGTATGAGGTTCAACAAGGTGAAGTGCCAGGTCCTGCACTTGGGTCACAACAACCCCATGCAACGCTTCAGAATTGGGGAAGAGTGGCTGGAAAGCTGCCCACTGGAAAAGGACCTGGGGGTGTTGGTCAATAGCCGGCTGAATATGAGCTGGCAGTGTGCCCAGGTGGCCAAGAAGGCCAATAGTGCCCTGGCTTGTATCAGAAATAGTGTGGCCAGCAGGACTAGGGAAGTAATCATCCCCTGTACTTGGCACTGATGAGGCCACACATCAAATCCTGTGTTCAGTTTTGGGCCCCTCACCACAAGAAAGACATTGAGGTGCTGGCGTGTGTCCAAAGAAGAGCAATGAAGCTGATGAAGGGTCTGGAGCACAAGTGTTATGAGGAGTGGCTGAGGGAACCGGGGTTGTTTAGTCTGGAGAAAAGGAGGCTGAGCTTATTGCTCCCTACAACTACCTGAAGGGAAGTTGTAGAGCGGTGGGTGTTGATCTCTTCTCTCAAGTAACAAATAACAGGACAAGAGGAAACGGCCTCAAGTTGCCCCAGTGAAGTTTTAGATTGAATGTTAGGAAGAATGTCTTCACTGACAGGGTTGTCAAGCATCGGTACAGGCTGCCCAGGGAAGTGGTGGAGTCACCATCCCTGAGGTATTTAAAAGACGTGTAGACGTGGTCCTTAGGGACATGGTTTAGTGGTGGACTTGTCAGTGTTAGGTTAATGGTTGGACTTGGTGATCTTCAAGGTCTCTTCCAATCTGAATGATTCTATGATGCTATATCCATGTAATATATACATATATGAATATGTGCATGAGCAGTTACTACAGAACAGCTGACACACGGCTCTTTTCCCTGTCCCGAAGCCCTCAGGTAACACAAATGTCCATGTCAGCAGTCCCCACTGTCTCACAGAAACATTAGACTTCTCTTTATATTCCTGCTTTAGCGATAATGGGACTTATGTTGATCTGACATCAGCGGGAGTCAGCAAAAATGCCCCATACTGTTTGACACAAGGATGACTCAGCTGAAGACCTCACCTTTCTTGTAAGGGGTCTTTCTAACCAGCTCTTAGAAAGCCTGAGAGCAGTAGCTGGGGTACATGAAACAACTTTAGGAACATGAATAGAGAGCCTGGCTGGGGCTGCAAACATTGTACCCTTGGTCAGAGTAGAAATCCTGCTTTATGGAGACCTTTAGCAAGGGCTTAGAGGAACTGGTCCTGTGTCTGCAGAAGAAGCAGCATGGTGGTTAGGAGGCAAGACTGTGAGTTAGGACACATGAATTCACACCATGCTTTATTGCAAAATAGCAGTATGACCTGGAGCATACCTTTGTTTCTCCATGTGTCTGTGAACCAGAACGAATTGTAATTCCCCTGCCCAGGTCCTGAAAGCCATGTGTGGTAGAAGATGCTTGTCTATTTTAAGGTCAATACCTCAGAAGATTTCTTACGTGGCTTTGCTGTACACCTTACTTCAATGATTATAACATGTAAAATACCTGTGGAAAAGTCCTGTCTGTAGATTGATCCCAGTTTTGCAAGAAAGTTTCTCTGTTTGTAGTAAGTGTGCTCTATCTTGCCACTACCTCTAAGGAGTTTCAGGACAACTGAAATGTCCCTTTTTGTGTTTTCCTTTCTTTTATTCTGTCCTTTGTTTCCCAGTCCAGGCATTACCGAAGCTGTGTGTGAGTGTGCTGGGATCTTGATGACTTGCTGATCTGGGTGCCACTCTTGTAGCCCTTCTTCTGTCATTTATTCATTCAGGTGCTTTCGCCTCCACCCATTTCCCTGCATCCTTCATCCATGCCAACTTATTACAGTCCTCTGCAAGTGCAGCTCTCAAAGTCACTGCCTGGTGTAACCCTTTTCACTTTGGGACTGGCATCCCCATGCCTGGGAGTGTGCGTGAGCATCACTCAGTCCTATGGAGGTTAGAGTCTTTGATGAAGGAGTACGTACAGGTTGCCTAAGGGATTGCTTTTATAGCTCTCTTTATTTCTCTCCTATGGCTGTCAGGGATGCATAAAGGCTGAATAACACATTTTCCATCTAGCACAGGCTCTTAATTTTCTCAACAGAAGATACAGCCATGTCACAGAGAGGATAGTGGCCTTATGATAACAAGATGTCAAGTGCTACCCTCAGGTGATGGAACAGCCTAGTTATGGTCACTCAAGATGTCCAGTAATAAAGAGCAGTGGACTTAAGAAAAAGTCCTGAAAAGGGTGTAGCCATGCTCCTGAAGCAGCAAACCCACCCTGGAAAACCAGGAGTTATTTTCTCATGCTGCCAGGTTTTCACAGCAAAACCTGCTGGCGTGTGGGGAGCTGTGCTGCTGCCCTGGATCTCAGGTTGTAGCAGTCCCCAAGCTGTGAATCAATGAATGGTGGGAGCATTGGAGTCTTGGAGAAGTACTGCTGTTGGTTACCCTCTTACCATACACTGCCCTCCACAACTGCTGCCAGGTATTGCCAGTGACAGATCGGACCAGACTTTTCATCTGATCTGGCACTGCTGTTCTTAACTTCTTGAGTGTTCACACGCTCATGTTTTTTCTCGTTGGTTAAACCAGCTTAAGGGGACTTTTGGGACCTACAGTAAGTTAGTGTTTGATGCAGATTAAAAATACTTTCTTTTCTGTTTTTGAGGAATTATTTTTAACTCAGATCCATCTTACTGAGAGCCTCCAAAATAACCGTTTTGAGAGTCCTTTGAGGAGGTATGTTATGAGATCAAGTGGCCAGGAACTAGAAGCTCCTCAAGCCAGCTTCGCTACTGAACAAATGGTGCATGGAAGCACACTCTTGCTTACAACAGTGAAGCAAAGACAAGAGATGGCCCTTTAGGTCAAGGTTACAGGAGTTTAGATGAGTCCCATTCCCTGAGCAGTGAAAACACAGCCATTCTGGTGTGGAACTTGGTGTTACTCTGTTCCAGTCCTGTTGTGTGACTGTGTTTAAGAGCAGATATGATGTCTGAAAGAAAGTGATTTGGAAAGACGAGGATGGACAGAGGTCTTCTGTCTTCCCTGCACAGAAGACTGGTGAAACTCAGGTTTGTTGATATGAACCCACCTCACTCCTCCTGTGAGCACCAGGAGTGATTCAGGTTCTGGTTTCACATCTCTCGGGCATGCTTCCAAGCCCGCTGAAACCTATGGAAGGACTCTCCTTACATCAGTAGGTTTTGGCTCTGGCCAAAAACTGGCTGCTGCACTATGCTGTACTCAGGCTATATTAAATAACTGCTCAGCTTGTTTCATTTCCATTGTTGTTATTTTTTAAATGTGACTGGTGCTAGTTAGATGGATTTGTGACTCTGAATCCCCTCTTGACACAAAGCGCTGTGTGAAGGGCTTGGCATTTAGTTAGAATGACCACATGCAGACATGCGGAGAAGGGATTTGGAGAAGTACTGGCGTCTTATGAGGCCAAGAAATAGAATATGCAAGAGTTGCCTTTCAGAGAAGAGGAATTACACCTTCTTTTCCTCTACCTTTGCTGCTTTTTCCCCCACCTTTACCTTTTGCTGTCTTTGCTGCCTTTCAGTGGTGCCCTCTATACGTTGAACAGTCCCGCTCGTGCGCATGGCCGTCCACATAAACAGGACTGCTCAGCGTATAGCAAGCAGTGCTTTACTGCTCCAGGTGCTCCAGGTATATTCCTACCCATCTCACAGAAAGACCCTTCTCCTCCTCCTCCTCCTCACACCAGTCAAAGCCACACACAGACGACCTGAAGGGGCAAAAGCTGCTTTCGCCGTGGTTTGTGTGTGGCTGCCGACCCCGCACGCCACACGATACACAAGGCATTGCCACAGCTCCTGTGGTGCGTGTGCACACCTTCCTTTGACACACACCGAGGAAACACGACGATTGCCCTTCCTGCACGCAGCAGGCCCACCACCTGTCCTCCTTATCTGATCTTTCACTTTGCTCTTAGTTCAGCATTTCTTGATTTAGTGTCTTGGCACTTTGACGATAGCCTGTGATATTTTAGCTTCCATGCCTGTTCCAACCCATGCTTCTTCCACAGCCAGAACTGCCCCTTTCCTTTGAGAACTGTAAATGTTGTGTGGCTACTCATTGTTACGGAAAACTGGAAGCTTCAGAACAACATTTCCAAATATTTTTCAAGGCAATCCTGTTGTTCGGGCAAATGTCCAGTAACAATCCACGTACGGATGTGTCTTTATTAACAGTGGGGGGCTTTTGCACTTCTTGATATTACAATGTTGCATTAAAAGCATCCTGGACAGTGCAGATAGAACTTGTTCCCTTGCGATGGCTGGTGAGTGTCACATGTGACTTGAGGAGTGAGGTATCGGTCACTGTGTCACACAACTCAATCCCAGAGCTGATGCAAACACGTTTCACTGTTGCTGATGTCAGCGGAAAGCTCCAGTGTGAGCTGGGCACTGGACGCCAGCCTTGCTTTTGGGTGAGTCAATGGGACATACCTCAGCAGCAGGAGATTTGAGTTGCATCATGGGATGGTCAGTGTCCAGAGCTGATGCTGCCTGAGTCAGAGGACCATGTGCTGTGGAGCCATCCTCTGTATTGCCCAGACCAAGTGCCTTTTCTGCTTAAGCTTACCCCAGGCGGAGATCATTCTCAGCTGGGATGATTTCAGAGCAGAAATGTGCAGTGTGCTTGCTGATATTCTCCACTCCTCTATGGAGGAGAGGCTGTTTCTTGGTTTTGCGCTTACTCTATGAAGGCTTTGCAGCACAGAACAAAGGTGGGGGAATATCAGCATTCAGGATATGTCTGGATACTCCCCACCAGCCAGAAAAACTCCAGAAAGATGTGTGATAACAATCCATACATATCTCTGATGTGTGAGCTCTCTCCTGTGTAAAATCGGAGTCCAAGCCCACCACAGGCCTCTTGGGGCTGGTCGAGACTCCTCTTTTATACCAAGGCCATAGTTTCGCAGCAGCATCCAGCCAATATGAGCCAGAACTCCTGTTGAAATGGTATGGCTATGAACCGTGCTTCTGCCCCATACCGTGCTTTCCCTTGGATATGTTTAAATCTTATTTATATATGCTGACTTCAGTCAGGGAGCTGGTTCAAGTTAAATACTGTTCCTTACTTCCAGGTTGCTCTTGACCTGGGTCAGATCCTCAAGCAGTAGAGAGCAGCGGCATAGACATTAGCAGCAGGACAAGGAAGATGGTGGCCAGAGTGCGAGGGGCAATGGGACATCTGCTTTCCACAGCAGCACTGGTTTATGCTGATTTAAAATGACTGTGGAACTATGGAAGAAGCGCCAGTGTCTACGGAGCAGGATAATCATGACCAAAGAAATCACACAGAGCTCATACCCTTTTTTCTCCAAAAGCTCTTTTTATCTGCAGTCATTGGTGCTACTGTGAGGATTAAATTGGAAGGCTCAAACTGGAAGTTATTTCTGGAGTGTTTTCTGGAACACAAGCTATCCGCAGGATGAAGCTGTAGAAGTCACACTTTTACGTACAGCTGTGAATCACCTGCATTTGCACTGAAGGGTGCAATGTTTTTCCCTTGATTGCTTTCGTTCTTACAGCAATTCCGCCAAAATATAATTCCTGCAGGACTCCTCAGCACGTTTCTGATTTAGGAAGATAGGGATCTGTGGATAGTTTTCCTTCAGAAGTTGTGTGAATGGCTGCACCAGTGCTTGTAGAAGTCTAAATCTACTGAAAAAGACCCAGGCATGTAGCAATACAAGTCCTAGTATTGCACCCTGTGTTTATTATCATACAGCCTTTTGCACTACGTTACCCATTGCTTATCCACGCTCCCAGGCCCCTCCAGTCAGGAGTTATTTCTGTTTACTGACCTGAGAACAGAGCCAGGGAGCTGTATGTAATCCCAGCCCTAACACCCATAAGGCACACAGCCTGGGGTGAGGCACGTTCCTGGGTCTGTGCTCCGTGCTGGTGAATAGAGACAATCATCTCCTAATGCGCACGGAGGCTGTGAAGTCCACCTCAAAATGATGCCAAGTGTTTTCTGAGAGATAGTAGCTTAGCCCAATGAGTTCCTAACACTCAGCTCCTCTTTCAGTGTGCACGTGTTGCTCGGTATGTCGACTCCTCAGAGGTGAGTGCTGGATTTCCCGCGCCCCGATACCCACGCATCCCTTTTGGGCATGACTGCATTCCCCAGCCTGGCTTGCTCCTGCCGCTCCTACTCACTGGGTTTCCTAACACCAGGGGAACAAACAAGGGGAAGGCCAGGCTGCGAGTGAGTTTGTGAGCTGTGTGTGTGCTGATGGCAAGTATTGCGGTGCTTCTCACCTTACTGACCTCTGTTACCCAAGGCTGGGGAGCATTTCTCTGGAGAAAAACCTCAGTCCTTTCTGTTCTAGAGGATATACCACTGTTCTTGCTCCACCAGTGTAACTCCTGCCCCACATCCCCCAGCACTGGTGTAAAACCACAGGGAAACCAGCAAGAGCAAACCTTCCTCAGTCCCAGCCCTGTCTTGCTCTGTTCCCTAAGGACTGGCACGTGTTTCTCTGTTGGTGGAGACGACACTTGTGTTTGGGACAGGCAGGGTAAATAACTAAGCCCAGTAGCAGACCCTGGTACGATGACATAGGGTTGAACAGACTCTCCCTGCTTCAGGCTGTGCTAGAACCATTTTGAAAAATGTCCCACTGTCCCCAGTGTAGCTTGTGTTTACAAACTTAGGAGTGTAGTGAACGGTTTAGCTGCCGGTGGTCTTTTCAGTGCTGCACCAATTAGCTTGGTTGCTAAGAGCCGAGCTGTATCACTTCTGCATTTTGTCCCAGTGGCACAAGAAAGGAGAGGGAGGCCTCTGATTTGGACATGCCAGAGGATGGGGCTGCCAAGCAGCTTGTCTAGGGAGAAGGAAGAAATCCAGACTGGCAGGTCTCTTGTTGATGGAAGCAAAAGACCTTCGTAACTCCTTTACTTCTCATCTCATGTGCTTTTTATTTTACACGCTGCAATCAACTTGGGGATGGCAGCAGAGGGATTGAAGGATCACAGCGCTGCCACCGTGCTGGAGCCATTGCTGCTGGCTGTGTCACTTGGGGGTACCAGGGTGTGCCTTCCCACTGCCTTGCACCCGACGTGCCATGCAGCCCTGTGCAGCATTAGTGCTCGGGGGCTGGTGATCTCAGCCTGACACTGCCTCCTTGCACACTGCGTAGGTGGCAAGCCAACACTCGTACTTGGTTTGTCACCCTCCCTGTTGTCCTTTTCTTGTTCTTTGCACTAGTATGTTTGGGGCCAGTGTGCCCCTGTGCAAAATGAAGCCCGTTTAAGGTGGTATCTGTTTAAGCACTCACGAAACACTTGTATTCACAGTGCATTTTATTAGCACTCTTCTAATTATAGCCTAAACCGATTTTATGGATTTGACTTCAAAGTGTTATTTATAAAAAGAATCACTGAATCCTGAAGTGCTTAATAGTCAGGAGTTAATCTTAGGAAAGTCATTTGATGACGCTAAAGCAGGCTAAAGCAGTAATCAATCCAATATGTTTACAAATTGGACCCAAAGTCATGTTGACCTGTTTTAAATTGCATGCCCTGACTTTCAGATTGCCTTATTATACTTTCTTTTTTTTTTTTTTTTTTCCCCCTGACATAATGCAGTCCCTTGGACCTTGTCAATAGGGGTATGCCGAGGCTCTATCTCATGGAGGGTTCATTCTGTCTCCACAGGCTGCCCTTTCTCTGTCTCCAAGGCAATAGATGCATTAATGCACTCTCAGACAACGGCCTGCTGTTTTAAATGCTCCTTTGTGAGCGCAGCGTTGGTAGCCCAGAGAGCTGACTACGTAATGTGAACACATTTTCCCAACGCCGCGAAAAGCAAGGGGAAGAAAGAAGCTAAGTTTGTTTAGCTAGGACTAAGTCGTCCCGAACTATTGGCACTCATCTTTCCTTGGTGCAGACTTTTGTGTAGCCAGTTTCAGAGTACAGTCATTAACAGTACTCATCTCCAAAGAGTTTATAATCTAAATGGGCAGATAGACAAGCCTTACCTCAGGCAGGAATATTAAAGGCTGGGTTAGAGCCATGATGCAGCCTGTTTAGCAGGAGCAGTTGCCTTATTGCTCTTGCAGGTGAAACACAATTGTTTCTCTCACTGGCTGACTCACAGAAACCCCCACAGCTCTTAGGAGAGCACAGGCTGGTGGGAGCAAAAATCTGCCCATCCTGTTCCCTAGATGATATCCTAAGAGAAGCACCGGACAAGATAAAAATAGTTTGGGCCAAAACATGGTGGTTTCATGAGTATATGGCCTGCAGTTGCCATGGGAGTGTGTATTTATGCAGAGACTGAAGACCAGGCTGAGTGTAGCGTGAGCTCCCTGTACAGGAGCAGATCCGTCACTGTCATCGTTGATGGACTCTTCTGAAGTTGTTTGCTTCACTGAAGAGCTCTTTCCTGCCCAGTTGCCTCACTCCAGCTGGCCTCACGGTCTGCACATGACAAAGCGTTGCCACAATTCGGGACATTTATCCTCCTTTGCTCTGGGCAGCTTCACTGAATACAAGCGCCTTCCACTATATATACTCCAGTGTGTCTTAGACCTTGACAGCTTCTGCGTCATCTCTTCTCGCTCGTGTTCAGTGGCAGGCCTTTGCTGGCAAAACTCCTTCCAGGTCTTTATACAAGTTTCTGATTGATCACTTCTATGTTCACAGCCTGTGGAAAGTCAGGCTGCAGCACTGAAGAACAACGGTACAATTACATAAGAGCTCTTTTTCCCCTTCAGGAAGGACAGAGTGAAAATCTCCAGGGATATCTGTTTGTCTTTTGGCAGTGCCTGGTAAATGCTTAAACGGGGGTCAATATTAACCAAGCTTGCTTAGAACTGGTGTTTAAGAAGTAGCAAGTATTATGTTTGGTGGTATTCTCTCGACTAATGTCTCTTAGGAGCTGTTGCAAAGACCATGGTTGAGAGGGAGGAACAATTTTAATCCCTGCAGAGATTGAATATATCTAGCAGATATTGAAGAATCAGCTGTGTATCAGGAGAACTGTTGCAGCTGCATGTATTTGAGGGGGGCGTTTAATACTGAAATGCTGATCAGGAGCCGTAGGCAATGTAAGAAATGTGCAAGGACATTAGTGAGGAATGGGGCTGGTTTTTGAGTGTGCACTGCGGGGTTGTGGTCTGTAGTGGTGACTGATACGGTAATGTTTACCTTAAAAACCACAACTTGGCAGTGACTGATGGTCAGCCTAGCCAACGTGTTCGGTTAGCTGTCCGTAAGGTGTTGCAGCATAAAACCAGCCCTTGGAGTTTTTCCAATAAAATAATGTTGGATCTCCTCCTACATGCGATTGTCACCCTGAAGACAAAGTGACAGATCACACGCAACCAGCAGTACAGCTCAGCGAGGACCTTAATGGGACATTCACTTAGTTGTGTTCTAAACAAATCACCTTATTGGTATATTAGATGTATCCAGCCCCTTCTCTGTGGTGTGCTACATATTGTACGTGAGATTATTACAGTGGAAAGTGCTCTTAAAAAACTAATCGACTTTGTGTTGAGGGGGCTGTTCATGTATCGCTGAACTAATTTGATTAAATGGTGTAGGTGGTTTCATTTTTGTTCTTAGCCAGTTTTGCTTCTAGCTCTTGTGCTGGGGATTTCCAGATATTTTTTTTTTTTGTAACTTTCTCTCATTGAGCTTAAAGAACAAATGACTGTTGCTCTAGGCATTTTGTTCCTTAAAAATTCCCTTTACTAAATGTTGAACCAAATTTTTACAGGGATGATTTGCATCACTTTGCAACACTGCCTCTGAATGGCAATTTGGGAGTTCCTCTGGGTATTTAAAAATACTTTCATAGTTATTTTGGTTATTTCAGAGAAGCAAAAATTTTCATAGATGATCAGTAGGTCCTTTAAGTACATTTACATTTTACCAATAGGAAGTTGAAACATTAATTTTTGTTTAATAAACTCCAGTTGAACCACAGATATTATGAAAGCAAAGATGAAGATTTCTGTGCTCTGAAACAATGTTCCTTCCCCCTCTATACTCAAATGTTTTCCTCTAACAGTTTGTTCTTTCCTTTTCTCTATGTAAATATTATGGGACTCTGATGTAAGTGTTACAGATTGCATGAGTTTTCTTCTGAGGTGTTTGGAATAGACTAGCACTTAACAACTTAATCATCTGTGGGATGTGTTTTCATTAACGGATGACTTTGTTGATGTGATTAGACTTGTTTGCTTTGGTTGCACTTCACTTTGGCTTTGGAAAGGACGTCTGCCTCTGTTTTGTGGCTCTTGGGCAGTGCGTGCTGGTGGAGTTGGCTGCTCCTAACTTCTTGGTTTGGCAATGAAAACGGTTGGGGAAGTACATAACTTGTGTCAATGTCTTTTGGAAATGATGGCAAATTTGTCTTTGTTGCAGGGAAAAGAAGCTGATCACCATCGTATAATAAATACCTGCTCTCTTGCTCTTATTAAGTGATCTGCAAACCTCCTTATGTGAATTACTCCCCGGAAAGGCTTAGCTCTGGAGTGACTTTATCTTCTATTACAATAATATAATACCTTTTTCTTGGTTTGTGTAGTCTGTGACTGTGGTTTTCCTCATTGCTCCTGAAAAATTACAGTGACAGGAGAAAGAAGTATTGCCTGGGAAAATAAGGGGGG